AGAGTTAAATGCTAATTGAACAAATCCTGATTTGTGAAAGAACTGATATTACTGCCCAAATCAGCACAGGATAAAGCAAAATGACAATGTTTTCTTGCTGCTTCTCTGTTCAGGACCATGAAAGCTGGGCTTGCATACTGCTCTCTTCTTGTCCTTCTTCTGATCACGGATGTCTGTGGCCAGCGAAGACCAAAGCCAAAGCCTGTCCGTCCGCCTACCACTAGGAAACCTCCTGCTCCCAAGAAACCGTCTTCTCCTGCCCCAAAGTCTGAGCCCGAGCCCCAGGAACCCACAGACTTTCCCCCTCCGATCCTAGGCCCTCCCTCTGAATTCCCAGACTGCCCCAGAGAGTGTTTCTGCCCACCATCTTACCCAAATGCTCTGTACTGTGAAAACCGCAACATCCGGAAGGTCCCGGTCATCCCGTTCCGCACCCACTACCTGTACCTACAGAATAACTACATTGACCAAGTAACCGCAGACTCTTTCAAAAACTGCACTGAGCTTAAGTGGATAAATCTGGGAAACAACCGTATCCGTTCAGTGGAGAAACAAGTGTTTGAGAAGCTGCCAAAGCTCCTTTACCTTTATATGCAGAGGAACGAGCTAAAGGAGGTGCCTGATGACTTGCCGGCCGGTCTGGAGCAGCTTAGACTCAGCCGCAACCAAATATCAAAGGTCCCACCTGGAGCGTTCAGCAAGATGGAACATCTCGCACTTCTGGATCTGCATCACAACAGGATCAGTGACAGCAGCTTGGGCAAGAACATCTTCAAAGATCTGAAGAACTTGATTCAGCTCAACCTGGCCCACAACATCCTCAGGAAGATGCCTGCGAATATACCAAAGGGCCTCTTGCAACTGTTCTTGGACAGAAATAACATTGAGGAGATTCCACAGGGCTACTTCAAGGATTTCACAAACCTGGCCTTTGTGAGACTTAACTACAACCAGCTTAATGACAAAGGTCTTCCAAAGTTGGTGTTCAACGTGAGCTCACTGTTGGATTTGCATTTGTCCCATAACATGCTGAGCACTATTCCCCTGTTCAACCCCGAGCTGGAGCAACTTCATCTTAACAACAACAGCATTGAAAGTATGTACTTCAATTCAATTTGTTATTGTGCCACAAAACAACATCTCCAAAATAACACATTTACTTGTCTTTGCAGGTGTTAACGGCACTGAGATCTGTCCCTCTAACTCTCTCAACATGCATGATGAGAACGGAGCACCCAAACTGAGATACCTGCGTCTGGACGGCAATCACTTGAGTCCTCCCGTCCCCTCAGATGTCATCATGTGCTTCAGACACCTTCATGCTATAGTAATATAAGATGGCTTGAGTGATGAACAGATTGATGCATGCCTGTGCACAGCAAGCCCTTCCTGTCTACTTGACAGTACTGATTGAATCAAACAGTACTGGAGAAAACAAGTAAAGAATGCATTTTTAAACAATGCATTTTTTCCCTTTATTTTCAGGAATGTTTCATTGTGTAACCTAAAAACCTTCAATGCATCATATTTATTGAATTTCCTGCCTTGAATACAACTGAGCATGAGTATTCTGCATTAAACGTTTCTATGTGATTATACAGAACAGAAGCAGCAGCGATGGCTGAGTGGAATGAATTAAACCCTAAAAATAAAGGTACATTAACGGACGTACTGTGCAACAGACAACAAGCGTAGTTACAATTAAGGAGTATAGGGGTAGACTAAGATACAACGAAGCAAAATAATAAACGGGGGGATAATGTAACTACTGTGTAGTTGAAAATGCCCTTAATGTGCCTGTGTTTTTAATGTACTGTGTGTAGTCCTGCCTTTATCTTGTGTCAGTATTTCTATATAAATAAATATGTGTAAAAATAATGCTCTATTACAACATACTTGTTTTTAAAAGTCATATGTAGAATTCACCTGCTATATTCCTCGCTTCACGTAGCATAACATGATATAAGAATAAAACTAGACAACAAGAAGATTTAGTGTATAACTTTCTATACACACTTAAAATTAAATGTTCTAAAGGTAGGTTTTCGCAAAGATGCCACAGAAAAAGCATTTTGGGTTCTTTAAAAGAATCATTCACTAAAGTAACACTTTAGTTTAGGGATCAATTCTCACTAGTTGCTTATTAGCATGCATATTACTAGCATATTGGCTGTTTATTAGTAGTTATAAAGCACATATTCTGCATGACCATATTCTACATCCCTATAGGGCTGGGCAATATATCGAGTCCCGAGCTGCTGCACGAAAACTGCATAATCCAGTTTGTCCTAAACATGAGACATGCTTATATTAAGGGCTTTAAAATAACTAAATAATAAAGTAAGATATAGTTAACATGTATGGTTGAAAGCAGCTTGTCCCGTCAGATGTGCCGTTTTCCTCAATGCATAACTTACACTTCACTGGTATATTCTCCATCCGTAAATGTTAGAATGTCATGGAAATATTTCTGTTTTGCTGTCAAAAGCCTTCTGCATGCGATTCTCCACTAAATTTCACAGACTTCACTGAACAGACTGAGCACAAAATAGGAGCGCAATTTGCTAGCAGATAAAAGTAATGGGTAATCAAAATATAATGCAATTAATCTGTGCGCGTGTTTATTTACTTTCATTTTTATTTTAGTGAATTGAATTTCTTTTAAAAAGCATAATTTTTTGTTTTTATGTAATGTTAAAAATGTTAGAACGTAATGTGAATTTAGCCCCTTTTTTGCACATGATGGATTGTATAGCCTACTTTCACTATATATATTTTCATTGCCTTCAATATAAACATTGTTTCATTGGACAACTTTGTGCAGGCTGTATAAATAAATAAATAAATAATAAATACCGTTTATCGCATTTCAGCCAAAAAATACCAAGATATGATTTTTGGCCAAATTGCACAGCCCTAATCCTACCCAATACCTAAACTTAACAACTGCCTTATAAGCAGTAATTAGGAGTTTATTGAGGCAAAAGTCTTAGTCTTAATAATTAGTTAATAGTGAGAACTGGACCTTAAAATAAAGAGTGACCAAAGAACCACTTTTTTTCTTACACAAAGCCAAATTTACATGGCCCATTTTTCTTTTATGATTATAGTGACATCTTGTGGGAACTTTGTACATTATATTGAGTGATGCAATTTATATTGAGTTCTCTAAATGCTTTATGCTATATGCAAAATAACTGATATATACACAAAAGAGTTGTACCACTGTAATCATGTTTCAGATTCCCACACGTAACTGATGAGTGACATAATGCAACAGTACAACCAGGGACTTTTTATCCAGTAATATCCAGTGATGATAACTTTTTAGTGTTTTAGTTCTCTTCCTGCTCACTGACTGAAAATGAATTTAGCGTTTCAACATCTTTAACATTTTAAACAATTAATCAAACAAGTATTTCATGTAATTGGTTTCCTTACTGGGCAAAGAAGTATTTCCACACACAGCTACCTGTATTGCAGTATTTCAGGTTTGATTGACAATCATTCAGAGCAACCGATGTTAGGAAGGACAAAAAGAAAACAAACGGCCTGCAGCATAAGGAAACAGAGCAAGAACGGTCTGCACTTATTCCTGTCAATGGAGCCCAAAAGCAGAAGAAATAGCGTTCTACTGGACCACATGCTTTCAAAAGTCAAGCAATGCTGGTCAGTTGATTATGAAATAGCCAGTAAACAAAAATTGTCACATAACACACTAATATCGGGAAGAAATTTGTTGTCCCGTTTAGAAAAAAAATGAATACAAATTAACTAAATGTCAAATATGAAAAAAAAAATGTGGTCACTAGAGGAAATTTGATTTACATAACTGTTCATGTGAGCTTAATTGAAAAGGAAACTCAAGACTTTTCAGTCAGTCTTTATCAGATTAAATACACACATGCAATGATGTAGAGATGTTGGTAAAGCTAGTAAACTAAACGTCCTAGGTTCTAATTTCGGAAGTGACATGAATTGCGACAGTTATCACTTGACAGAGCCCCTTATCCCCAAGAAGGCCCCTGCGGGACTGTCCCTGTGGTAAACGCAGTAATCTACTTTTTAAATAAAGGCTGCTAAATAAAGAATAACCAAATAATGAGTAAAAGCAGTATGAAGTCTTTCTCATTATTATTTAATAAAGATTATTGTTAAAATGTAAATACACAAAAAATTACTTTATAAAAAATAACCTATTTCAGTACTTATCAATTCCCAATACTTATAAAATACTTGTAAAATATACTAGAAGGATGAAGGATGCTTTAAATTGACCAAAAGTGACAGTAAAGACTTTCTATTCCTCAAAAAAAAAAAAAAACATTTCCGCAAAAATATTAAGTCCAACTGTTTTCATAATTTATGGTAATTAGAAATACTGAGCATCAAATCAGCATTTTAGAATGATTTCTGAAGGATCATGTGACACTGAATACTGGAGTAATGGCTTTTGCCATCACAGAAATTAATAATACGTCACAATATTACTGGATTTTTGATCAAATAAAGCGTTGGTAAGCATTGATCATCTTTCAAAAATAAAAAATAATCTTACCCCAAAATTTTAAACGGTAGTGTACTATAATATATATATTTGCACAACTACACAGTATAACATTATACAGTGTACCACTACAGTTATAGTAAGATTATGTACGTGCCAATTCCCAAAGTGATGAATTAATAATCTTGCAAAGACAGGCACTTCCTCTTACTGTAATGGGAGGTAGAAGAGAATCAAGGAATACCTGTCGAAATTCCCCTCCTGTCCCACTATAAGAGCACCTGCCATCACCATACAGAGGTGCACTTCATTCTATGAAGAAAAACACTCCCTGGACCTCACCAGGTAATAATACATGATGTACAGCATATTTATTTAATCCTATATGAGAATGATATAGCACATACATTATTACATTTATGTAGCACATACTGTATATACTTATGTTTGACTGTCTTTTCTTTTTATCCCAGGCTGACCTGTCAGAATAATAATGAAGGACTTGTTTATCATATATAGCATGTTTGTATGCACCATGCTGTGTGGTCTATGGGACACAGCCCAGGGTCGGCGGCTTCACTTGGGCAGCTGTAATGTGAACATTCACACGCATGAACTCAGGCACCACTTCCAGCACATCCGTCAAAGCATGGTGAGCACATTTACAGTCTAGCCTTATTCATGTATTAGTCTCAGCATTTCCTTCTGTTAAAACAGCTGGTGGTGGCTTGACGTATGCTAAACATGTATAAATGCGCCACGTCCATTTCCCGCCACAACCATGACATCATTGGTGATGTCAATGGGCTTTCTTGACAGGCTTGACATGTCAACCAACAGGTTATTGGTTTTAAGTTGTTCTTGCACTCTGCATGTCTAAATCAAAAGAACAACAATGACTTTTAAGCATGACAAAGCAAAAAAAGAGCGAAAGGAATACTTCAGTCAACCCCGGGAATCTCCTGCCAATGTCTTCATCTCTTTGTCAGTCTGACGAATCATATCCCTTGCAAAAACAGAGCAGAAAATTCCCATGTAAACATTGCCATTTTTAAGGTGGCCTTATTTGATTGCGTCTGTGGTTTGAGGTTATGTAGTGATTACAACGGTAATGCAATCTGATAATATCTTGTGTTTTGACAGATTTCAGGAGATGATCACAAGGCAATCCGATTACTTAGAAAAGACGTGATGAACAGTATACAGGTAACATTTTTTGATTCTTTTTTTGTAGGGCCTGTAGCTTCATAACCTTTGTAGAGTCAAGTCAACTGATCAATTATCATATATTACTATCAAAAAAATCTGTGATTTATTTGTCTTCCCCATTATTAGGCTACAGAAAGCTGCTGTTTCCTCAGGCAGCTCCTTCACTTCTACATGGATAAGGTCTTTATCAACTACAGCAGCAGTCATTCCCTACATCGCAGAACCACCAGCGTACTGGCCAACTCCTTCCTCAGTATCACCAAGGACCTGCGAGTGTGTGTATGTAACACTGCTATAGTTAAAGAATGTTTTTCAAACTGTTGCAACCGTAAGACTGGAAAAAAATGGGAAAAGTCCCACACACTGTCGTAACTTGCAAATCTTTTTACAGAGGTCAAGGTCAAAGACCTTCCTTTGGCATTTGAATGGCATCAGACTAAAGACTAAAACAAATTTCGTATGCTACAATATTTGGGACTTTTCCATTTGACCAACTATGACCTACAAACCTGTCTGCGAAAAAATGCATGTGCAAGCTGTGATTATCTATATATCAATAAGCAACTGTAAATGAAATCAAGCTCTGTGTATTTTAGAATATTGGTGGAGGATTATGGGCAGGTGTAAGCACAGCAATAGAGATAGAGAGATGTTGCTGGAAAGCTTTTAGCAGACTAATCTAATCATGTCACTGTGTGTCTATCCAAAAGCATGCTAATGCACACTGTGAGTGCACTGAAGACGCCAAACAAAAACTTGCAGGAATTCAAACCATGTATGACAAGGTAAGAGACGTAATTTACTGACAGGACAACTAATAACTAGACCTGCCAATACGGATATTTTCTTAAATCTTTTATTTGATCTGACAATACTGCAAAAAGCTCAGTTTAACACATTTCAACATATTTAAATAAATTCCACCGACTTTTCCCTCACAATCAGAACAGAAAATGAAAGAAAAATAACTTTCCTTTGTCTTTCAGCTTGATCAGGCAGCAGGAGCAGTGAAGGCTATTGGAGAGCTGGATTCACTACTTGAATGGATAGAAAGTTTCCAACACCACTGAAAATACACCAAGATCAAACTTAAGTGAAGCTAGATATTTATTATATTTCTCAAACAGGGACAGCTGCATAGATTCAAGAACAAAGAATATTTACTACTTGACTCTAAAAACCGTTTAAAAAAGTTTTTGTTTCCTTACAGTTTGTGAAAATAATTTATTTATAATTAACTACATTTAAAGCCATATTTCTAAGCATATTTGCATGATGTATAAATGTCATGCTGCAAAGTAGACCTTTGCGGTCAGTTTGTGATCTGTGATTTTCTTTGTATTGTTGTCTTCATAAAAAATATATAATTTATAAAATAAAGATATATTTAAGCTGTTATGAGTCACCTGTTCTACCACAAAATCTATTCAGATTAATTTAAACACATTATAGGAAATCACTCAAGAACTGATGTTTCATATTTGGAGTTTCACCTCATGAGAGTAAACATAAGTAACCATATATATTTGTCATGTTTATGCTAAACGGAAACACCCAGATGTTAAGAGCTGACGCATGCTGTTTCAGCAGGTCATCACTCTGTGTTTTCTGACAGACCTTTGTGTCAGGTGGCTACAGAAACACAAACCGGAAACACATTATAGGAAATCACTCAAGAACTGATGTTTCATATTTGGAGTTTCACCTCATGAGAGTAAACATAAGTAACCATATATATTTGTCATGTTTATGCTAAACGGAAACACCCAGATGTTAAGAGCTGACGCATGCTGTTTCAGCAGGTCATCACTCTGTATTTTCTGACAGACCTTTGTGTCAGGTGGCTACAGAAACACAAACCGCATTTATCACTGACTTTCAATTTAGGTAACAGGTTCACGGCTATTCATATCAAACAAGAAGATATTGAGCCACAAATTTGTCATACCACGTCAAATTCTGACTTAATTCTTGATAGAAAGAATTAGCAAAAACAGTGCTAAGAAAAAAAGAATGACGCAACACTTCTGTTAAATGTTGCTGTACAGCTGAATTCGGGAAATACCACTCGACTATACTAAGAAACAGCAGAAGAATATCGTAGGATATTCATCCATGCATTCATTTTCCAAACCGCTTATCCTCTGTAGGGTCATGGGAAAGCTGGAGCCTAAGTAAGAGTAGTAGGCTATTCCTAATTCAGCCTAGCACCTTACATGCTTTCAACAAGCAACCTTACTGACCTCTAGTGGCCAGTAGTGGTGTTAAACAATAAGCAGTGTTTTGATGGTGGGATATCATATCTGGTGGAATACTGAAACTTTACATGAGAGGATGAATGTAAAGCCACTTCAGTACTGCGTTTCTATATTTACAAAGCAAGCAAACTGCTTACCAGTGAACATAATAAAACATTCCACCTAATTGTGAAGTGATCAATCATAAGTAAAACAAAATTATACTTTAAAAAAGTGCAGTTACAGCTTAAATACAAATGCTGAATAAATGTACATTTTAAATTAATCTACCATGGTAAATCCAATCTAACAGGAAGTGCCAATAAGGTCTGTAGCCTTTTTTTGACCTTCATAGTTGTTTTTGTTCCTATACAGTAACCCTGACAAATCCGTGCTGTACTATAGTTTGATAGATTTGCCATTCATAAACCAACCTTAAAAATAAATAGCCTGTGGATGTTGACACTGTAATCTCATATGCTAGCGAAAGTTGATACAGTTTTGTGCCAAATTAAAAGATGTGAAAGTCCAAGATAAAACCAAGATAATTTACTTTGCTTTGTAGGAGAGGGGACATCTTAATCACTGTCATGGAGACATCGTCATGGAAACATTTATACGTGCACAACATTCAAATATTTAAAAGCTTTCCAGTGACAGTGAAACAGATTAATTATTCCACTCTAAATCGCTGATGATGGTACTAGAAACGTGCACTAAATAGCTGACATGGCTTGAATTTCCTGAATCACTTTCATAACAGCTTTTTTTTTTTTTTAGAACTTTAGTGATTTCACTGAAACCAGCTCAGCATAACAGGAAATTTCCTGTGTTTTAGATCTTGCTGATCAATTGACACATAAAATTATACCAAAAACTTAACAGCAAGCGAAGCATGCTAAGCAAAGCACTATCATTAAGAATGCTGCCAGGGTCACCCAAAACACAAAAATGCAACATGGTTTAAAATTTCTACAGTTTCAAAACATCTGTTTTGCATGGTCAAAACCAAATGTACAGTACAGTAGGTCACTCTTAACCAAATGGGAAAGAACCTACGCAGCACACTTAATATACTTCCTCTAAAACTTCCCAGGACTACAAGCAAAGTTGCATTCTAAGCACCTGAGGTAGCTCACGACAGCATTGCAGCACTGAACCTAATGACCTTTCAAACCCACAATAGTACCCGCACTCTTCTATTCTATTTGTCAATGAGACTTGTGTCATGCTTCTTGACACAACATGCCACGACATTATACCAGCATCCATAACTGTTCACATGATATGGCACATGTCTCTGATGCCTGATTATACCACAAATCAAACTCATTATGGGTAACTGTCATGAAAAAGATTTTGTTAAATGAAACTATTGGTCATAAACTGTCCGAGTCATTTGCTGTTTTACATACTAATTTATACATATTTACATATTAAAATGTTCAGGGTGCAAAACTGTGCTGTTGAAGACCAAATATGATGTTTTTTTTACAAGGTCTATTTTAGCAGCAGTTCCAGATTTTACTTTAGACTTCAAACTGCAACCCAACAGTGCCAAAACAAAAATATCCTTGAAACAAATCATTAAACTGAATCAATACTACCATGAACCACAGTAATTTTACACAATATGCAAAACTATTGAGAGTTTAGTTTTTTAAATGCTTCTATTTTGATAAATGCTTCTATTTGCTGCTATAAGCAGCCAATTACTGATGCAACAAAACACTTTGTGGTTGGACAAACCATATTTATCCTCACTGGTAGTGTATTTAACATAGTCTAGGTCATATACAGTATTATCTCCCTGCCCATTACCATTGCGAAGCAACAGATGAATTTGTGCCAAAATATCAGAGTTTGAGTGGACACGCAGTTGTTTACATCAACAAGGTTAAGTAAAGAATTTTCTCCCTTTTAAAACGCATATAAACCTATTTATCTTGCCATGCCAACTATGCACTATTACACTACTGTTCAAAAGTTTGGGGTAAGAAATGAAAACCTTACTTTTCATAGAGGACTCATTAAAACTAATTTAAAGTGACAGGAAGTTCATTTCTAATGTTACAAAAGATTTTTATTTCAAATAAATGCCATTCTTTTGAACTGTTTGCAACAGTTTCTTGAGCACTAAATCAGCATGTCAGAATGTTTTGTTTCATGTGAAACTAAAAACTGGAGTGATGGCTGCTGAAAATTCAGTTGCCATCACAGGAATACATTACAATTTATTTTAAAAAAGAAAACAATTATTATTTTAATTTGCAATAATATTTCTCAACAATATATATATAAAAAAATTTTTTTTTGTATTTTAGACCAAGTAAATACAGGCATGTTGAGCATAAGAGACCTCTTTTCAAAAACATTTTTACAAATCTTGTGACTCTTGCAACTAAGATTTAAGATTTCATGATGTTGGCTCTTCAAAACAAATTATGCACACTGTGTTCCAGTGACAGGAAGGGAGGAGTTTGTAAAAAAAAGAAAACAATTATTATTTTAATTTGCAATAATATTTCTCAACAATATATATATAAAAAAAATTTTTTTTGTATTTTAGACCAAGTAAATACAGGCATGTTGAGCATAAGAGACCTCTTTTCAAAAACATTTTTACAAATCTTGTGACTCTTGCAACTAAGATTTAAGATTTCATGATGTTGGCACTTCAAAACAAATTATGCACACTGTGTTCCAGTGACAGGAAGGGAGGAGTTTGTATGCAGCAAAACATCCATAGGTACGCTTCAGCAGACGCATGCTGTTTTGTTTTGGAAGGCAACCTCAGTCATGTGGGTACCAGCGCCCGCAAAGGCACGAGCCATAACAGCTTCATCCTACGTGCTGGTCAACAAGCTGCCTCGTAGCAAGCGCTCGCATATGCGTCACTACAGAACGCCCATGAGAACAGCGGCTTTGACACCTTAAACAGTTAAACTAAAGAAAAAATTGTGAAACTGAAACAGCTGCAGAATGATGCGTTGAGCGATTTCCTTTAAAGACAGTCTTAGTGAAGCAAGGGTCAGACAGTGACCCTCATGAACAAGAAGCAACTTTACACAAAGTTGTACTTGCAGCAATTTAGATCTGCTTCAAAAATCAAATAGACTTTGGTCTAAAGTTGATATTTGTAGTATTAAAATCACCAGAAACAGAAATGATTAATGTTTTCATGGTACAAGATGACTGATTAATAAGGGAGTATGTAATCAGTTAATCAACATCTTATGATCAATAAAATCATTTGGATAAATATAAAATTAACAGCTTTCATAACTTCCCAATATTACAAGGTGGTCAATGAGTCAGTGTGGTTTAGCATGACTTTAGCTGAATTTTTAGCCGAAACTGCCAATTGCTTAAGAGAAACTACTATATAACAGAAACTCTCTGAGTCATGCAATGTGGGATTTTACATCAAACTCTACATTTAACTTATGTAAAACTTATACAACTAACATAAAATATATACAGAAGTGAAAGTAAAGGTTCAATATTACAGTACTTATACATTAAAAAACTTCAGATTTCAGAAAAACAGAGTATAATGATTACTGTTAGTAATGTTGAGATCAGACTATAAATCAATCTGTAAAACAATTCAGTTAATCAGAAATGCTGTATATTTTGAATAGTTGTAAAATTTTATTAAAGACTATAGATATTATACTAGAAAAACTTTTAAATTGATGATTTATAACTAAGAAGCTGACATTCATTAGACAGTTTCATATCCTGATACAGAGCAGTTTCATATTTAATGTCTCAGAACATGAATCTATCCATATGCAAATGAATCTCAGAACAAGAATCGATCTATATGC